TGGTATATCTGACAGTCATTCTTCTTGTGTCTTCATTTGTCTGTACCCTACAAAAAAGACTGCAATGTAGCTCTTTCTCATTAAGTCACTCACATGCTTCTTTAAAACATGCTCAAGTCTGATAACTCAGCATTTTGTAGGCTCTTGGGTGGGATTTTCAAAAGTGTTCAGCATTGGCCTCTCTCTACTTCCATTGACTTCAGAGGGAGCAGAGTGAGGCCAAGGTTGAGCACTGCTGAAAATCTTGCCCTTAGATCTGTATGCAGAAATGTGAATGTGAGTGTGCACAGCTGCATTTCTGTGCATAACTACTATAATTGGAGAATAATATGATTATCCATTAATGCAAGGTAATAACATGAGCAATTGCAGTGATATCATATGCAGGTGTAGATGTTCAACTGTATATTTTTTGCTCGCAGATCCTAGGCCTCAGTGTAACAACATGACATTGGTTACTGTTAACTTGGTAAAAACCACAACTAGAACAGGTCAGAAAAACCAAACTTTTCTCTGAAATAAATTTCAAATGAAAATTCTTTATTCGAAAATTTTCATCTGAAAAATTTGGGGTTTTCAGTGGGAAGTTTCAAGCTGATGCCAACAAAAAATTGTTTTGATATAGCTTAAAATATATTCTTTCAATTTTTTTTAAACAAAAAATCTGAAAGAAACAACATTTTACATTTGAAAGTTATATATAAAAATGTTTCAGAATTTCCCCAGGAAATCTGAATTATGTTATTGAAATTGACATTTTCCCATGGAAAATACCTGGTTCCAATGTAATCATATTATTTGGTGGGAATATTTTCTAGCTGTAAAATTTTGACTTCTCTAGCCATAAGCTTCACTATAAGCAAAATACTTTAACCATTGGGCCTGAAGTTTATTCAACACAGATTATGTTACTTCATAATCTGAAAGCACTCTCAGGATATCATCAAAATAATTTGAAGATCTGAAATTTAATTCACATATCAAATGCCATAGTTTTGCATTTTTTTTATTTTGAGTTTCAATGCTTTTTCCTTTCATTGCAGACTCTCACTGACTTCAATGGGTTTTGGATCAAACTCTTACCCCCTGCTTTCATCCATCCTGTGTATTTTTTTTCCCACTCTTCAGATCTCATTCTTTTTGTCATAGCATCTTTGCCTTCCCCTACCTATCAGTTCTCCTTTGCTTTTGTCATTAAAAAAGGGAAAAGAAAACATAACAAAATATTATCTTTCTAAGTTGAGTAAAAGACATCACCTAATTTCTTTTGAATCTCTCTACCTTCCCATATTGCCAAGAGTATGTTTCCAAGGGATTTGGACAAATATGAATAAAAATAGATTTTTTTCCCTCAAGCTAGCTCTTTCTAATCTGTGCAAATTCCAATAGAAGCTCCTAAAATGAATTTAAAATGAACTGGAGGTTTGTGAAGCATCACAATCCAACCTGCCCTTACAATCTGGAGATAACACTGCACAATGTATTAGCAGATTTTGGATTACAGATTTGCTTTTAGCAAATGTTCTCAGTACATCAGTCAAGAAATTTTGAGATTGGGAGAAATATTAATTATAATTTCTATTATATATTTGTGTCCAATATGGTTCACAATGTGCTAGGCCCTGTACAAACCTAGCACAAAAGAAGATGCAATTTCTGCCTTAAAGAACATGTATTTTGGAGAGACCCTAGCACATAAGACCAGATTTTCCTAAAACTGCTAATCATCTCTTCCCAAATATGATATAAATACCACCAAAATTATCCTATGTAGAAGATGAACAAGTAACTGCTCATCTGTATTTTCATCTACACATTTAATATTCTTCAGCAAGAATCTCATGATTTCATTGCATGCAAATACCCCAGTCTTGCAAACTGCTTAGATATCTGCTTAGCTTTAAGCTGGTAAGTAGCATCACTGAGGTCAATAGGACTATTTGTGCTTACAATTAACATGCACATAAGTATTTGCAGGTTTAGGGCTCACATCTTTTAGTATAAGGCAAAATTTGAAGTAGAATGTGGGAAGAATCACCCTGAAGTGTTTGTACTTTGTGGTAGTCTTCTGGATGCTATCCCTGAGTATTTTTGTACAAACCAATGGGGTTAACTCATTGCTTCATGGGTAGAATTATTCAGGTTTTATTGTGTAACAGTAAGTGGACTCCCTCTATTTGAGTTCTAAGACAGTGAGACAATGATGAGCAATGTTTTCTGGTGATTTAAAAGCACAGTCTCTACTAAATTCAGACAAATCTATATGCAGCATAAAGTGGGTAGATTGACCTGACAGTATATGTGAACAGAAATGTTTGCAAGTGCAATGTTCCCCCCAAATTGTGAGTTTTTAGATGAGACTACCCAATTTCAGAATTAATTTTTCATCATGTTAGGCTTATGAGCAGTCATGTTGTGCTTTTCATTAGAATCAGTTAAATAAAGACTGCAAATAATTGTGATTTAACTTTGCAAATCAGAAAGAAATCGCAAATTTAGCTATCTTATTATACTTTTATATTAGCTACAAAGTCTGAGCCTTAACATTCCTGAAGATAGAGCCTCTTTACAACAACATTATTTCATCCTCTACATGAATAACTATAAAATTACTTTATATAGCTATGTAGTTTTCTGTACATTAAGGAAAATCTGCTCATATTAGAAATTGGGTTTAACACAGATTATATCTTTCTAACACTTTTTTACAATCTGTTCTTTTAAAGACCTTGAGTATATTACTCAAATGACACAATCTACAGCAATCGGTCAATAGTACTCTATGAATGACCAAATCATTACTTGATTTGCACTTAGCTGAACCCTACTAAAACCAGTGGATTTGTACTGAAAAGTAGGTCTAAAAGTATGTAGCACATATGATTTGTGATGGCTTTGTTTATTCTCATTGGAAAGGACAGCTACGTTAAGATCCCGTTTTTTTCTCTTTTGTCTCAGCATTGAGCTCTTTGCAGGCAAAGTCCCTTTGAACCCAAAATAGCACATTTGATTACATTGCATTGTATTGTTTGTCTTTGTCTATTTTCTGGCTGAATTCAACTGATGTCTGTGCATTTTCTCATAAAAGGATACGAAAAATCCCGAAGCTTAAACAACATAGCTGGCTTGGCAGGCAATGCTCTGAGACTGTCTCCAGTAACATCACCCTACAGCTCACCTTGTCCTCTAAGACGCTCTCGATCTCCCATCCCATCTATATTGTAAACCAGATGGCATCAATCGGCTACCTAGCATTAATTCAAATACTGTTTACCACATTATGGAAATAAATGTAGCATTAACTGTAGGTTCCATAAATACAGTATAAATTCTGCATGATATAAATGTCAGTAGTAAGAAATGCCACTTGGGTAGCTGAAGATTCTTATCTTGGCTTTTAAGATTGTCTAAAGTAGTGCTTCTCCTTTTATCTACTATATTGTCCTACTTTACCATGGCAATAAAAGGACAGCTAGTAGACTCCATTGGCCAGTATATTCAATAAATAAGTGTATTTTCAGGGAGATATATTTAAAACAACGTGCTTCCAAATGATAATCAATCACTCCATTGAACCTTCATTACTTGTGACTCTAACCCATTCTGAAGATGTCTGGAATCTTGTCTTTGTCGCACACAATGTGATTTGGGTCTGATCGTTTGCATGGATCATACTGTCTCCATCACCTGACAGCAGTGTTGCAGATTACTGGGACCATAGATGGCTCTGGATGTGTGTTCTTGCATTGTACCATCCTGCTGAAATGAAAGCACTGATGAAATGGTCTGTATGTGGGATTGTTTTTTTGTTGTTTAACCTTTTAAATTTCTTTAAATTATTTGTTTTTAAATGGTTTGATTTCTTGTTTAACTTTGGTACTAGACTGCTGTATCAGAGTTCTGAATGTCTCCGGTTGTTTGCACACAGATAACTGCAAAGAGGTTGTCATTACTGGTTACACGCAAGCTGAGGCCAGATCTCTTTCTTAATGGCTTGGGGAAGGCACAAAACATGAAAGAAAGGTAAACACCATCCAGGCTTGCAATTTTAAGCTAGCAAGTGCTGCTTGGTACTGTAGTCATTTTTCTACTCCAGGGTTCTTCAACATTTTCAGAGGCTGAGTGCCATGTAAAAGCAAGAAGATTATTGCTTTTATCTGTACAAATATAGGAGGGCAGTAGTTCTCAAAAGGGGTTTGACCAGCCTTAAATATGATTCATGAGCTTCATAAATTTCTTCAGTCAGTGTCTTTTTGAGGTGCTTTGTTCTATATGTTGTTTCATTTGTCTGTTTTGCTACGTGTCTGCTGTATTCTTCATCTGTCTCCATAAAGCACAGAAGTACCTTTAAAATGTCCCCATCTTTTAAGATTAACTGTTGAGTACATTTTCTCCTTTTCCCCCTTTTTGGTACAGACTATACATTTCAAATGTAAGTTAATATCCTTTAGCCTACCTAATGTGGGAACTTTGAAGATCTTTGAAACGTGGGATTTAGCAATGATTTTGCCATTCTAACTGGTTGTCTACTGCAGCCGCATCAATCCCGCTACCTAGCAACCAACATTCATTACTGTATTCAAGCTGTATCCCCTCCAGTGGCTTTTTCTTTCAATTTAAAAAGCAAGAACCTGTTTACGCAACAGTACAAATGCAGTAGTAGATTTGATGTTTTGGGCTGGTGAGGAAAAAAACACCCAACAACATAGTCTTATGGAAGAAAAAAAAAAGCACGAAACTAAGTCTTAAGAGATCCTTGAGATTGTTGAATAATCCCTGACTGTCATATGTTTATATTTTTTGTTAGGAAGAGAAATAACTTTTATTGTTGACCATGTAACATATTCTTCTGTATGTAGCCTAGCTCTACAGCATGACCTGCATGTCAGACTTCTTGTACTATAATATATTTATCAAAGTATACATTTCTGATATTTAGAGATGTACAATGATTTAGTTTTGGTAAAACATTGCCAATAGAGAGAGATAATTGAAAACAGCTTTTTAGCAAAGGAATTAATATAATATCTGGTACTGCTGTTATATTGACTACAGTGTTGTACAGAATTTATCATGGATTTTTGACTGCTGAAAAAGGGACAATGGAATTTAGCCATACCAAGGACTGTACTGGAAAGAGACTACTGCTGCTGAATGGGCCATGATAAACAACTCGTGCATTGAACAGGTCATTGAGCCGTCACATGGGAAGTAGAGATTATTATGAAGATGAAGGACTGATTTCAATTGCTGCTGCCAGTGGAATAGGTGACTAGTCACTGCTGATGAGTCAGCTGTAAATACAATGTGTGTGCATGGAATATCAGCTTTTGCCATCTATGTCAGAGGAAGCTGAATTCAAAGTCATCAGATCTCAGACTCCATGCAAAGAACCACGTGCCTCTCTCTGTGTATTCTCCCTGGTTCCTGCAGTATGGTCGTGCTGTGGATCATGCAAAGGCACACACTTATAATTATAGTGATGTTAACTACATCCGTCTTCACTTCACTCATAGCAAGGGTCATGACCATGGACAGAGTGGGTTTTGCTACAAGTTCTTGTTTTCTCAGTTTGCCATATCTATATTTTTATGAATTCCAGTGTACATGCCAATTTTTGTTTACTTTTCACTTTGATAAGAGAAATGTGACTGCAGACAAACATCACAGACTTTGTTCACAGTACACAGTCTTTTTTCATTGTTACCTCAGACTATAAGTATTATGAGAAATAAAATTCTGTCAGCAAGAATATTTGGGTTTTTTATTCAAACTATCACAGAAGCAACATCAATAAATATCAAATATGTATTAAGATTATATCCTAAAAATGTATATTTTGCATAAGAGAGATATTCTTTGATCAATTACTTTTTGTGAGTTTTGTGGTAAATTGATCTAGTCTGTTCTATGTCTTTGATGCATTGTAGTTGGTACAGTGTATTAATTATGTTCTCCCCATCCTATTTAATGAGAATTTCTCCAGAATATGTTTGTCATCCTGGTATCCTGAATGTAGGGACTATCCCAGTTGTGAAACTCTGTATCGTGGAACTTTTGTGAACACGTCAAGGTGCATGCACAATCCTGGTGGAAACTAATAGAAATGTAACTAACTGAAATGGAGAATAAAAGGCAAATGATTTGGGGATGAGCTTGGAACATACCTTATAATATGGCTCATGTGCTTTCTTTAGGTTAATGGCCTTTGAACATTCTTATGATTTATATCATTCCCCAGACCAGTCTCCTGGGGCACATACAAAGAGCTCATTCAAAGAATTGGGTTTGAAACAATCTAAAAATCTTTCTCTAGGAATCTTGTTTCCTTCCTGTTACTGATCCCAGGGCTTGTGTGGAAATAGGCACTGGGCTAGTTAATTATAGATTAAATAATAGACCACTGTATCCTGGAGTGTACTGACACTAATATAATTTAGTGGTCATGGTAGGTAACCAACTGAACACGAACTTCCAGTGCCATGCTGTAGATATGATGGCAAATGTGATCTTTGGACATAAAATCAGGGGAATATCAAGTAGGAGCAGAGAGGTGTTACTATCTCTGTATGTTGTATTAGAGAGTCCTTTACTGGAATACTTTGCCCAGATCTGGTTCTCCACTTCAAAGGGATGTTGAAAAAGTATGTGGGATTGTTTTTGTTTTGTTGTTTAAAAGGTTTCAGAAAAGACCTACAAGAATGATTCAAGGTCTAGAAATTTGCCTTATAATGAGAGACTAAAGAAGCTCAAAGGCTAAGAGGCGACTTGGTCTACAAGTAACTACACAAAGAGATTTTTGATAGCAGAGGTCTGTTTAAACTAGCAGAAAAAGGCATAATGAGAGCCAATGGTTGGAAGCAGAAGTTCAACAACTTCAGATCTGAAGTAAAGTGCAAAATTTGAACAGAAAGGGTAATTATTCATCGGAACAATTTACCTAGGGATGCGGGTTCTCCATTGCTTGAAGTCTTTACAACAAGAATGGATGTCTTTTCTAAAAGCTGTAGCTCAAACAGAAATTATCGGTTTGATGTAGAAATTGCTGGGTGAGGTTCTGTGACCTGTGTTATGCAGGGAGTCAGTGTACATGACCATAACGATCCATTCTGGCCTTAAAATCTATGATATTGTGAATAAATTTCTCCATATTTTTATAAGGTTGCATTCAGCTTCAGATTAACTGTGTTACTTTAACTAATACTTATAAATATTATGATTGAGATATCCCTGTACCACAAGTGCACTATGCAAACTGGAGTTAGAATTCTTAAGGATCAGAGTAAAAAACTAAATAGCAAGCAGTATGCCATGGAGCTTTTTCTATATGTGAAAAGGGTTATTGCTGGTAAAGATGGTATTAGGACCCTCAGAAGGAGAAATGGTGTAAATGAAATTAAACTATTAAAATAATTGGGATCATAGTGGTAGCATCATGCTATATGGTTACTGAAAAAGAAGAGGGAGAGAGGGAGAATCAATTTGACATGAACATAATCAGCATCATATTTTAATATGAAGATATGAATTAAAAAGTCATGAATGAACTAAATTATCTGAAAAGGAAAGACATTGATTTATCATCAAAGCAAATCAGGCAGAAAGTCAGATAAAGGAAATGGGAATGGAAAACTAATACTAGAAAGAGAAAATGAATATATTAATAGGCCTTATTGCAAGTCAGTGATAGGAGTGAATACATAATAGATATATTGAAGACTAATAGAGCTAGAAGAAATTCTGAAAAAGCAGAGGTTACTATTAAGTGAAAGTTATCAAAAATATTAGCATTATTCTGCAATCCATTCTTTTGGCTGTCTAATGATTTTTTAAAACTCTTAAATCTAGGAACAGACCAGTTATTTGAAATTATCGTCTTTTAAATCAGAGATGATTCACGAATGAATAATACTGAAAACTTGGTATATGATCTTCTGTTTTGCATTTGTGTCCATTATGTCATGATCAACATTTCCTTCCATGTTAATTTTGCAATCATTTTTCTGTTCTGTGTTTAAAATGTTCAAAAATTGGCATCTTTTTGTCTATGCAAATAGTAGTAAATAATTCCAGTTAGGCATGTAACCATCTGATTTGCTGCCTCAAGCAAGAGAAAGAGCTGAGATTTTTTTCAAAGGGGCTACATCTCTGCCTATGTTTTTGAGAGTGCAACTTTGCACAAACAAACACTGTTGCTTGTACTTTTTGATCACAAGTACCTGTGT